TATATATATATATATATATATATATATATATATATGTATATATATATTATACATAATATTCTTCCACTTGATCTAGTAATTAGTAAGATATAAAAAATAAAAATAAAATTTATTTTAAAATAATTTTATTTAATTATATTCTAAAACTTTTAAAAAATTATTTTACTCATACACACGAATTTTATAAAACAGGCTAATAAATCTAATAAACATAATAATATCATGTTAAGTATGACTATTAATGTGAGTCATAGTGATTGTATGTCATCAATATTATACTTTATTTTACGTATCACAATACTATCGTGCTTCCTAATATAGTCCAAAATGATCCTTATAATTTATCTTATAAAGATAATCCTATTATTATATTCAACCATAATATAAATATAAAAGTGAATAAGATAATAGAAATAAATAATTTTAATTACATAAAAACGAATATCAATTATAATATCTACTCAAACATCTATCACATATCTTTTATGGATTGCTCAAAAACCCAATAATAAGAACATATTCTTTTAAACACTTTATATTATAAGGTGTTAGTGAATGGATCAACAATCAATATAATGAAATTAAGTTTTTAATTGACACTAATTGTTTATGAACTCCTCCTTTAATCATTAAGTACTTTATACTATAATGTATAAAACTGCTAAAGTACATGCTATTCTTAAAAAAAGAAAACTACTGTGATATATCACAAAGTATTTTCAGGGACTTAATTGAGTCTAACCATACTAAGTCCTAAGATAAAATTTTACACTAATAAAGTTTGATTAGTGACCTCAACGAATACCACAAAATTAGCCTTTATTATTGATAATGTAGTAATACATTATTTTATATTTTTTCTAATAAATTGCCCCTTCAACTAATAATTATAAGACATAAAGTGAATTTTTTGCTATCGAGATAATTTATAAAATTATATGAAATTACCGTCATTTCAAGCTAATATAATTATATATATATAAGTATATAATCTTTCATCTTTTCTAAATATCTTATTACTAGCTTTTTAATGTTTAATCTTCGATAACTCTAATATATACTTAATATATTAAGTATAAAATTAATATTTGATTTGTTATAGGCTTAAGCATGTAATAAACTTTCAATTGCACATACATAACGAAAAAAAAATTATATATTTTTTTAAAGTTATTTTAAAAATATTTATTTTAACTGAATTTTTTTTATCATTTGTTGAACAAAGCTATATACTAAATCTCTAAATATATCTTTTCTGAGATAGACTTAACAATATTTGAGATCTATCCCTAAATATCTTAATATCAATAACATAAGATAAGATGTCTCATTCATATCAACCATCTTAAAATTCTTAGTAAGAATTTTTTTAGTTTGGTATAATAAACCAAGATCACTGTTAGCAAGCAGAATATTATTTGTATACAAACTAATATAATAAACCTGCTCCCACTGATCTTCAGATATAAATATTAATCAATAACATTTTCTTAAATATGAAGGAAGTAATAGTATCAAAAAACTTTGTATACCATTATTTGATGACTTATTTAATATCATAAATGAATTTCCTAAATTTACATACCAAATTTTATTTCTTTTCTCGAATAGTTTAGGTTATAATTAATATAAATCTAGATAAATAATAAAATATTTAAAAATAGTCCTTAAATCTAATTTCTTTTTATGTGATTTAAAGATCCTTATCATTGTAAGACAATCCTAAATATGTCAATGTCTTAAGTCGAGTTTCTTATTAATCCATAACTCAAAAGAAGTTAATAGAACCGATTTACTAGGAATCCTATTCAAGATATGCATGACTATTCTTAGAGCTTCACCTCATATTGATTCGAGTCTAAAAAACATAACTCATTATGCTTCTAACCATATTTATATAAGTATGATTTTATCTTTCAACAATCATGTTCTACATTTAGTAAAACATACTGAATACAAATATCCTGTTTTGCTAGGAATTGAATAAAATAGTTAGAATTATGATCGAGCACATTGTAGCTACTAAAAAATTTATCACTCCCATCAGATCATAATTTTAACTTTTCTATATAATTGTCTCTCAACTTCATTTATGTATACCAAAAGGTGTCAATAGCTTGAAACCTTAGTTATATCTCAATAGATAATTTATAAAGTGATAAAATATCTCTCTCCACTAAAATAAGAAACATGGAGTGACCTATAAATATAAATATAAGCATATAAAAACTCAAGAAGTTCATGAAACTATGTTTCATTCTAATATTTGATTATAGAATTATTGTAAACTCAATATTCATATTAATTATATATAAACCATCATATATAATTTAAAAGTTAACTTTTATTGAATCATAAATAGAGTTTATAGTCACAAAAAATAATAATATATTGATAATTATATATAAAGAAATCAAATTTTTAGGATTATAGAAACATATCGTACATCCTCAATATCCATCGAATGAATTGTCATTAGGTGTAAGCGATAAATACCAACTATTATAGATTTCGCTTGAATATGATTTCCTATAATAATGAATATTTCATACTCTTTTAGATTCTATATTAAAATGAATCTCTATTATTGGCTACATAAGTTGAAGCGTTAGTATCATCTATCAAGTATTAGAAAAGGACTTCTATAACGTTTGATTCGAAACATACAAATTTCATACTTATACCTTTCCCTTTCGAACTAACCTTATAGTTCTTTTTCATATGATCTTTCTTACCACAAAGGTAGTACTTTACTATGAAGATTTTTTCTTTTATGAGTTTATATGATATTTAAAAATTCTAATGATTTACGCTTCAATTTTCTTTTATTGTTATTCACTTCTTGAGTAGTCACCAAAACATTATGAGTATTTCTTATTTTAATCTTAATTCTTTCTAAACATATATACTAGTTAGCTCATTAAAATTTAACTTATCC